TCAGAGATTGTGAACTGTGACTGGAAACAAAAATCACAAGATTTGATCGCTACTCATTACTCTACTCTTTCAGATGAGATGAAATATTTTGGAGACCTTGGATATTTAAATAACCTAATTGACCAAATAAACACTAAAATCAGTCTGTTAAATCACTTCACATGTGAGTTGTATTTGAAACTTTAATGAATACTGATTGTAACACATTGAATAATGTCAGTTGTCGACTATTTCAAAGGAAGATCACTGAACATTTTCGTTGTGATTTCCCATATTTTTAGTTGAAAATGAATATCTGTCAGATATTAGGATAGAAATTGATCATCAACCTAAAACACGTAAGAAGTCATTTAAATGTGGTTCATTGTGTAAGATTACACAAAGGAACATTATGTTTATGTTGAGCTATTCGAATGCGATAAATATGTCATATTGTTGGTGATGAATATTGCAAAGAAATAGGTTTTTCTATCATTTTTGTTGACATTTGATCAAATCAACTTAAACACGTTTATGATCTCAATTTGAAATGCAAAAAGATTCTGTTTTAATCTTTAAAAGGAATCTGTATAGTGTTCAGGTTTATTTAGGAGTAGACTTTCAATTATCAATTATTCTGTGAGAAGTAATTTTGTGTCGGTATATTCGTCGGAAATTATTTCATATCGTTCATTGTGTTAGACAGAACGAATAGATAAATATTCTGTTAAGTTTTCTCTGTACATGTGATAAATGCTCATCAATTATTATGACAGCTCTATATTATCTTGTTGATTTACATTTAAGAATTTATTCATTATCGTTGTACAAAAAATATTAACTTTCATAAGTGATACATCTCATCTGCAGGTGAAATTTCAATGAAATGAAGTCGAAACTGAACATCTGATGTACCAAATAGAATACAAAATCTTTAAAAAAAATTTATTCGTTCATGATGAAATGTTTTTTTTTAAATTACACCCTAAATAAAATCACAATGGATTAAATTTTTATGCGAAAACTGTTTGAAATAAATATTTTATTTTCAAAATGCTCACGTTACTTTTTACTTTTGGTGAAACCTTTTTTAAAACATGAATTCAATGACCTACACGTAATATGAATATTTTCGTTAGATTCCTGAAATTTGTTAAATTCCAAAAATTTTATATATTGATCAGGCATACGATGATAAGTCATCTGTTTTAGTGAGATATATAAGCTAAAGTCGACGCTTAGCTTGTTCGATCAACAGTGGCATCACACTGGATGAAATAAGATTAATTTGAAAATGAAAAAAATTTTGTACACTGTACATGTTGATAATTCATTGTCAGCACTTTAGTAGTGGTGAGATATTTCATGGGCGACTCAGGTCAGTTAGATAACATCATGCGAATAATTAATTATCGGAAGAATTATAAAACCAACAGATAGAAAATATTTTGTCAGGAACACGATAGTGTGTTGTAGCCAATTTCTACGTGTTCCTAGTCTTTGTAATTAGCTTGTCCAGAAAACCGTTACTAAATAAAGTCTGGCGGTTATTAAATCAGAAGGTAAACTCGAAATGTTGAATAGGTTTGTTTTGGCACACCACAAATAGAGATAGCAGACCACAAGCAGACTGCGCAGGCACACTATCGAGTGAATGTGCAAATGGACGAGTAGGCGAATGTGCGAATGAATTAAAAAGACAAAAAGTTTCGAATGTATACAAAGAAAAATGTCTGAGTCATCGTGATATTAAAAAGAATAATAATAAAGCAAAGAGAATCGGTTAGCGCTTAGGCGTACTCAATGCTCAGTCATACAAGCTTATAAAAACCAGACAATAATGAAAGCAAATGGTACATATAAGCTGTCGTTTTACAAATGGTATGGGTAAATAATATAATCGAAAGTTTCGACCGAATTAAACGTAAGCATATTGAAATATGTGTGGAGGCAATACAATTGATCACTTGTATTCCAACGAATAAGTTTTCTTTCATGGTTTGCTAATAAAATAAACTACAATGTTGGTGCTAAGCACAATGCATACAGTTTGAATAAACTAGATAAACTAGTGCACTGTTTGTGTGCAGTGATAAATGAACACTGTTGCAATGGGCGACACTCCAAATAGTTCATATTTTTTTCAAAGAAATTAGTTAAATTAGTTTGAATTCTGAATAATTTTGTGGATCAGCATTATCAGATAATCTGAAATACATAAGAATAGTCCTAATTACTCAGTTCACAAAACAAATAACACCTGCATTCATTGTAACGATAAAGAAGAATCGATATTCGTGACAACAAATAATAATTTCAAGATTTGAAACCAGCCTTATCCTGATTTAGACATCAGGGAATTTCGAAATCTGATTGAATTAGATTGCGTCAGATTGAAAGTTCGATGTTTCGTCCTACAACCAAACATGACAATGTGAATTTAGCTGCTAATTCGGTAGAGAAAGTAAGACTGACTAAATAATCACTTGCATAAATAAGTGTGTCTCACTAATTATACTTCTACATCTTAGAGGAGATGGCTATGTCTTTCACGTTAATATGAAATAATTTATTATAAACTTATCTGGTGATTACTGAATAGCCTTATTACTTTACTGCTTTCATTTAGTCACCATCCCTTGTTTGATATGTATATGTGACTTCATCAGACTTCTGAGTTGTTTATGTTGCTGAGTTACCACAGTCAACACCAGTAGCTCCTTCTTTGTACATGAGGATGATAGTGGTCATACTGAAGATCAGTCCAGAACTTTCCGAATGAAAAATTGTATAACCTCACCATTTCCCAACCGACTTTGATCTCACCTCGTACATATACAGCACAAGCCAAATGAATTCGTTCATTTAACCGAATTTTATGTTTTTAGAAGAATTTCATGACAATCTTATCTCTTCTGTGACCGTTTTGGATTTACATAACATTGCGAAATTTTCAAAATTTTATTTTGTTATAATAAACAATGTATCAACTTATTTGAAGGCTTAGTTTTAGAGAACATCTGGATATATACGTTTGTAATTTGTCATTGGGTTGTACATTTGATAATTCTGTTCGATTCTGCTTGAGCAAATAATATTTGTATTTTGTTATGGCTTTTTATTCTTCTGCTTTACCCGGGTTTCTATCTTTCTTTCTGAACTGCAATTACGTTGTTTAAGCTGATACTTGGTTATGGTGACATCTATACTAATTTGTTCGTCTTTTGGTCGTGTTGCTTACTTTTGTAGTGAAAGAGAACACAGGTGGGGCACCTGAATTGTATTCGACGAAAATTACAGAGTTACTCGGTAAAATAGGAAAACCATATCGAAAATCGTTCTTTTGCAAAACATCAGTTCATCATATCGAACTGGACTGTTCCTGTTGCAAAACATCAATCCGTTGTCACTATTCATGCGTTTCATACAAATTCCATTGTTTTCTAACTCTTCCTTTCTTGATCTTCGCCCCATCTTCGGCTGCCAGACATTACGTTGACGCTCACGTCATATACTACTTATAATTAGCTCGCACCATAGCACCACACTTTGACTTTGATTGTGCATTTTCATTGTGAATTGAATCAATTTTTCAGAATAGGAAAGACTCTGTGTTATTAAGCCACCAAGTATTATCTGTTGAACGAATACCATGTATCAAGAAAGAATAGAATATGAGTTATCTGTTGCTACTGATACAAATCACTTAACAATGTTGTATAAGTAAGCGATAATATTTGTCTAAGTGATGATTTACATGTATATTTATGATGAACATTAAAACGGTTATTTACTCGAATCAATTTCTTCGGTTTTCAACTGGGCAAAACCTCAGTCACAGATGACATAAAAAATCTACTTTCCAGATGTTATTACAGTCAAAATATTGCAGACACATCCTATTCGCCACCATAAACCATGAATCTATACTACCTGGACATTTATTTCTCGGTTCAAACCGTGATTTTGTTCCTACACTATGATTCCGATAGTCAACTTTTACTGAAAACTTAGAACCTCAAAAATATTCGCATGTCTATAAATTTCGCAAATTTTACTTAAAACAAATACACTAGTTGAACTTGCGACCACAAAAGTTGTACATGTGATTACTTCTGTCTTGTTTCAAAGTTGTGATACAAATACTTCATCCGAAAATTTCAAAAAGATAATCTAAAATGAAGCACTGACAATATCTGTAAGTCTAAAATGAAAACATCATACAATTTTTTTCAAACAACAGTAATACGGTATTAAGAAAATCAGCATCAAAAAAACATCAGGAATAAACTACTGCTAAACCGAACAAGACCTAATCCAGAAGACTAATCTTAGAACAGTAAGACTGGGCACATTCCGTAAACCTCTAAACACCATCACAAGTCACGTTATAACTTTCAATAGTCAATACTGTAACAAAATAGATAGACTAAACAGAATAGTGTGCCTTTACTCTGGGAAAGACTAGAAAAGGATGAATAACAAGTGACTGATGCGGACTGAAAGCTACAGTGTTCGTGTATTAACCGTGAAAGACAACTTTAAGTAAGGCATAGATTTCTATGGATAACTATAAGCTTATACCGTCTACAAATTAGAAGTTTGATTTTTGAGTTTTTTTTCTTTTCTAAGATGATTTAGTAGCCGTAAATAATTATACAAGAATTCGCAAACTACCAAATATTTAGGTGACCTTAGAACATTGATTACCTACGGGTATTGTTAATGTTATGAGCTTTATTTTTTCTGTTCTTTTTTTTGAGAAATACGTGAAAAAAAAAATCAATCAGCTAAATGAATTTATGTTCAGATCTGTACTCCATTTAAAGATTGAAAACAACCAAAAATATAACATCACATAAATGGTTTATTAAAGTACACAGTCAATCAGTGTGAAAATTTCTTTAAGCATCAACCAATCCTAATTGAATTGCCATTTACTTATGTGTCGTTATTTCATTCGTTCAATTTATTTTTAGAAGTACATATCTCTCTTTATAATAAAAGCAGAAGATATTATAGGAATTTGGAGTCAAGTTTCTGTTGAAAATGTTCCGACTATACTTTATTTACATAACTGTATTTGTATTCATCGTACAAGCCGCTGTAAAAGACAGTAAGTTGTTTGAAAAATATTGTCGAATTGAAATAATATATTTTCATACTGATTACCTTGATTTGTCAAATTACTTTTATCATTGAGTAAAAGATACTGAACTATAAATTTAATACATTGAGGGGGTTTGTTGAAAAATTTCGGTGAATTCAGGTTATGAATACGCAGGTTATTCATCCTTTCAGAACTTCAATGTAATATTCATATTTTGCCCTATTTTTTCGATATCGAAAGATATATTTTCGTTTACTCCTATGTGTGCGATATTCATGCAATATTCATTGATACTGAATGTTTTACCCTCAATTCCAAGGTCATTGAGTGATAATTTCAGTCAGTACATTAAATGTTTTTATGTAAAAATATGTATCTAACTAGGGTAATATCAGGTGACAGCTTTTTTCGTACGGAACTTGTGTGTCTCACCTAAGTTCAATCATTACTTTTGACTGTTAAAATAGGTAATCTGATTGTGATTTCATTAGCTATGCCACCCTTCGAAAGAGTTTGACATCCGGCATGGGGCGTCATTTGTTTTTTTTAAAAATAAATTCCCATTGATTTTCAGAGCAAGGTTTCGTGACCTTAAACTTCTTCTCTGTTAATTATACGAAAACCGTTTATTCTCTTCCACGGGACTGAGATGCGGTGTCAATATCGAATACTCATATTGAGCTGCGAGTAACCGTTTGTTACCCGTACAACGCATAATCATGTAACTAACTAGTGGATATACATGTATTTTAATAATGACAGTTCCCATACGAAAAAGAGACGCACCAGATGTTTATCTATTCACTCAGAAATGTTCACTATTCATCATTAATTAGAGAATAGAGAGCAACAAGATAATGCTGCATTTATTTGACTTGAAATTGTGCATTTTATGTCTTATCTAACATATAATTCGTCATTTCATTTGTTAACACAAGTTTAAATGTTTCACTATTTCTGCGAATATATTTTGTCAAACTCGTTCTATCAGTATCTTGTACAATCGTAAACACGTACAATATGAAAGTTAATATATATCGTGTAAACATGTGAAGTGTGTTCTCTTTGTCACTGATGATATCCTTCAACGTAATATTTTTTTAAATCAAACTCAGTTGAACAAAAACTTCTTGTATACTGCCTCCTAAGAATAGATAGGTGAATATTATGCTTAAATTTTATCACATGATATAACTCTGCTGATTGAAAAATCTTGAAAAATATTCATCACAAGCGAACAATAATTTTGTCTGATTAAAACTGTAAATAATTCATTCAATTGTTTGTATTTGCAGTATCTAAATTAAAAGAATCTATCAAGCAAAAGCAAAGGGAAAATGAAGGTGAATTTTCGTTTTTTTTCTTTTTCTGAAGGTTATATAAATACAGTTTTATAAACTGATTTTTGTATCACGCTGACAGTGTTAAAAATGGCATTTGTGTGAATATAAATCTGTGATAGATCAACACTAAAGCAAAGACACATTTTCTCGTTTTGTGTACTTGTATGCTGGTTTATAGACGAACAGCTATTCAGTGTATTTTCAATGATATTTGATATTCACACAAAAAATAATTCATAAGCGTTTTCCAGAATCCGCACACGATGTCGAAAAAGAAATTGAAAACAATGATGAAAGATTCAATGAATTAAAAGGTGAATTGTTTTTTTGTTTTACCGCTTTGGTGAATTTTTAAATAAAAATGTGAATATTTTCTAAATGAATAAGTCACTACACTTATAAAATCAGTTATATAAAACATGTTTAATGATGACGGTCTTTATACAATGGAAAAGAACTCTATGCTTTCAAGGGTTATGAGATTGGAAATTAAAGCAAGAATATAATATCGTTTATATATTGTATACGGAAAATTTACTATGCATTGGATAAGAAGGGTTTCGATGTTTGAATATATTCTTGTGTCACTCAGTCTTACAGCAGTTCCGATAGAAATACAAATTCTAGTGAGAACCTGTGTAAATTGAGTTAAACATTGTTAGATATGGACTGTAGCTGCTGGAGTCAGTAAGTGTTGTCGCACAATACCTGCGATTGATTTGACACGGTCATGGATGCGCAACACTGATGAATCCCATATTCAAATAAAACGGCTTTCAGTACATTTGGGTTTATATTGATGCACTCAAAATAATGAATGGATACTTTCTATAAAAGAAAAATAAATACCAAGTTGGAATTCAATATTTTTGTCAAACTTTCAGTGTTTTTTCAGGAAACATATTTGACTAAGTTAGATTGTCCAGATGTCATGTTTGGACTTCGAATGTTTTGTTAATTTTCTTCACAATGGAACAAAGGTTTATCTACAAATAAATAAACAGTGGATGATGATTTACGATTCATAGTTTCGTTGGTTTTTTTCAGATAAAATGAAAGATGGTGATTTCAAAAACATTGATGAATGTAAGCGAAAAAAAAAGATCATTACATCAACATGATTTAATCGTTTGATTGTAGATATTAGTTGTACATCCGCGCGTTTAAAAGGTGAAGAAGGATTGCGAATGATGAAAGGTTGGATGATTGGAAATTTAGACATGCTTTTCAATTATATCTTGATCCTGACCTTATATGTTTTACAGTGATTTTATTAACTGACCGACGTTTTCAGTGTAGTGTAGTAGTATAGTAATACATATAAATGTATATATATATATATATATATATATATATGGACGAAAATACGAAGTTCAATAATCAGACATAACATGATATCATTCATCTGAGGAGTTTTTCATTCATTATTGAAGCAATTGTAATTTGATTACTCACCGATAAGAAATCACTATTCACTAGTCAGATGTTTTTACTGACAAGATGAAAGACCCGATCACAGTTTTATGATGAATATATATATATATATATATATATATATATATATAATATCCGAAAACATCAGTTAAAAAAGAACAAATTTTGATGAACAGTAGAGAACAACCTGTGATATATATTTTTTCTCATTTACATTGATTCGATCTCTCAGAATGTGTGAAATCAATGGATTCTATAGACAAGGAATATAGTGAGTAGTGTTGTTCATCAATCATTACCAATATAATGAATGAAAACGTTTGTTTTAAAAGATTCATAATTATCATTCTGTCAATGTAGAAAATGTGTTGTTGTTTTAGTCGAATCTTTTGAGTTGCTCTGTGCGGAGTAAAAAGTTAAATATCGTTTTGTTTAGTGTACACGGATGAATGTTTTTATTTTATTGATAGATGTATAATGTTGTACGAAAAATACCTTGGAATGCAATTTTTATTCACTCTATTTAGATATAGTTACCAATCATTCAAATGCTAAGGATAAATGTTTGGAAAATAAAACTTCAATTTTCGAAGGTACGTTTTAACACTACTGACATTTGCATCCAACCTCTCAATTGAATGAATACATGGTTGTAATAAATTGCGATGAATAAATTTCTCATGTTCCACTATAGCAAAAATGATCTATTCATCAATTTTCATCAATGTACATCTTAGCGATGAGAACAAATAAAAAACCTAGAATTTGTACTTAACACAATTGTCAACCATTTAATATTGAAAAAAAGAGTAAATTCCACCCCGAACAATTGTTTCAGAAATTAATTTGTGTACTGATGCTTCATAATAAACGGAGCTATAAGACCAAATTATAATTAAGACGAGTGATTGAAATAGAAACATGCAGTTCAATAAAAATTTTTATGACTAATAAAAATCACTGTGCAACTTCAGCATTTCTTTTTCAATAAATGAACAGAATTGAGACTGAATAACTCAAAAGAAAAATGCAATCAATTTTTACCACCTGGTGATAGAGGTAATGCGGGACGTTTATTCTATTGACATGATATTTTGAGGAAAAGCCGACTTCCTCGTGTAATTTATGTATATATACATATATATATTTATGTACCTAATGCTTATGTTGGGAGTGTTTTCTCATTTTTCTAAACTAACTGAAATCATTAGTAATGACCAGTTATCAGCAAATCTGTCCGTCAGAAGTGCTTAAAATTACACAATTAGACTTCACAAATAAGTATTTCTATCTTTTTTTTAGTTGAAATGGAATATTTCGGAGAGACTGGATATTTGAATAGCTTGATGAAAGATAAACAGTCATACATGGATTTATTGGATTTGCTGTCATGTGAGTTCGATTGAGCGTCGTTTGTTGATGATAAATGAATATAATGTTTATGGTCCATTCACAAAGGAGATAAGTTTGTAATCAATGAACTTGGTGGTTGTTCGAGTCTACAACAAACCCATATGTCATTACTCTAATTTTAGTTGAAAATGAATATCTGTCAGATATCGAGAAAGAAATTGATCGTCAATCTTAAAGTCGTGAGTACCCATTTAAATATGATTGACTAGAGTTACACAATAAAACAATTTCATGATGTTAAAAGTAAATGCAATAATAGTTGGATAAAATCAGCTGATAAAATGTGGTACAAACGAAATAACTGTCTGATTTTTTAGCACTTTATTACTACCATGTGTTTTTCAATTATTTTGTCTTTATTTTAACTTATCCACTTAAAAACCACAATCGTTCTTTCGCTAAATGTTACTAACACGTGGAATATTTGTTAACATCAATCTTTCGACAGTGATCCCCTCTTTTTATCAAATAATTTTATCTCTATTGTTGATCAACCTTTTTTTCATGTGGCTTACTGGCTTCCTATATTATAGTGTTAGCTGAATATTCTGCTTGTTACACTTTGCCCTTGGAATGTTTGCATATCACGTGAAACAACCGCTATGTATAAATAATCAATAAAGTTAAAACGGTATTCTGTAATTGAGTATGCATATACCTTTGTTGTACACTAGTCGATTATTCAATAAATAACAGTAATATCAAATACTTTAAATCTAAAATTGATTTACCTCAAATTTCAGATTTGACAAATCACATACGATATATATATTTGTATCAGTTGTGTTATTAATATTTTGTTCATTTTAACAAACGTATTTTCTAACAATGTAATATTTTTCTTTGTTTAAACTATAATAAAAAAATTCATTAGTTTCAGTTGAATTGAATTATTTTTTCATGTTTTATGATGAGATAGGTACACGACGAAGTAATTGAGCTATGTATACGTTGTTCTGTGTTTGAACCTGGTGTGCGTAGTAAGGGGATTTACGATGTCCATAAGTCGCATGCTGAGAATAAAATATTAGTCAGTGCTTGTAGGTCTTTATGTAACCGTGGTCTATTATTCGGCAACTTATGTTCTTCATGAAGAAGGCACTTAAATCAAACATTTGTAAGCTACAATAATTGATTTTTACGTTGAAAAAATTTGAGTTTACAATAACAGTCCTTTTAGTAAGACTGTAAATGTAACTGACTTCAAAACCTATAAATTTATCGGTAAGGAATACAGTTCTCTCACAAATAAATATTATTTATGGACTGTGAACTTAGAAACAGGAAGTTAGTGCATACTAACTTTCCATTTCGACAAGGAAAACTAGTTTGATAACCACTTATTAAACAACCTTCAATTCTAAGATAAATCATTACTGATATATGCGGTTTTCGCATACAATATCCTTTTTTCGCGCGAAAAAGAAGATATCATCTTCTTTCGTCGGTTGAATCAATAATAGTAGCTCTAATAAATAAAAAAAGTTACACAAAAGGTACATTTTTCTATTATAGCAGTATATAAAATATAGAACAATACGACACAATATGTTACAAAAAGCTATTAGATATCAAAAGTAGATCAGTTGAAAAATGAAAAAAACATAATTGCTCTTCCATGCTCGTAATTTTCTTTTTGAGAATGCATTGCATTTAAACACACTACTCTCAATAGACATCCAGGAGAAAAGTTTCAAACATCGGTCATTGGATTTTCACGACTGATTTGAAGAAATAATAATTCATTTCCTGAAATGATCTATTCCATATTGCAGCACATTTCATAATAACTGTTAATAGTAATAACGTGTGATTGCTTTTCAAAATATCTCCAAATAAATTATTCTTATCAGATACTCTAATTGTTTTTAAATATCTCGTAAAGTATATCAGATGAAGTATGGTCTTTACAAATTGTTTTTAGTTTACGTCTCTTTTGAAAGATAAACAAAGTGGTATTTAAAAGTACTTCATCATTATAAATCAATATAAGAAAATCTAAGTGTAAAACAGGTCAAAGTATATAATAACACAGTAATATGGTGATATATGCTGCTCTTATTTTCGCTTTAGACAATTAGATTCATTATGAATGGGGTCGATAAATAATGTGAAATTTCTATCAAAAGTGAATAGTTTAGTAGTAGAAAAGAACATATTCATTAAATATACACTGTTTGTGTGAGTGACAATATTTTTGTAAATTATCTGTGAGTACATTCGTAGCAGAATAGAATGGTGTCTCTCTCAGGCTGTAAAGCGATGGGAATTAACGAAAGCACGTGAAAATCTAAAATATCAGGAATCAATAGTGAATATATGATTCTATCAAGCTTTTTTATTCAAATACAGCTAACAACTTAGAAGTATTCAAATCAGAAAACCGTTTGGTCAGAATCATACAATCGTCGAGAAATAATAATAAAAGTCATCCGTCAATCGCTTTACCTACATCTGAAATAAGCTAACCGGTTTCTACTGCACTTCTGAAAAACAGTTTGACGTGATGAATGCTAAAAATCTTTGAATTATTTTTTTCAAGGTTGTTCAGTGTCACCATTAATTAGGATTGAATGTAGGTATGTAATATGACTTCAAGTGCAGAAATTTTTACACATGTATCTACCACCCACAATGCACGAATACTACATCTACCTACCTAAAGGCCGCGCTGAACTCGTGATTCCGATAAAACTCTGATTTCATCGTTGAATTCCATAACTGTTCTAAATGAGGAGATTCTAACCCCTAGGCATTAGCCTTAATGAATTGCATTGTATTTCAGGTAGGTGTTTTCTTACTGGGTTCGTTCTCCAACAGATGACGTTGGTTACCTTGTGCACAAAACGTTTTTTACTTCCAGACTTCAATACAGTTTTCAAGTCTCTTCGTCCATGAGCGGAGCTCATTTCAACCAGTAAGGAAGCCATCAGTCATAATAAACAAAGTTTTATCAACTAGTCAGCGTTTATCAACAATAATTTTAAGTTAGGTAATAATTTACTTTTCACGAAACCAATGCAGTAATCGTTTCAAAATCCTGTTGCATTCAAAGCAAACGTTGATGTTAAATTATAATTTACTCTTGCAGTCCTCTTTTAACCCGCGAGGTGTAGGTTTATACGCGTCCCACCCAGTCCAAGTCCAAGAGCGATAATTCTGGGAGAGAACGGTTCTATTTTTATTCAAAAAAGGAAATACAGACATATACCAAAGGTAATATAACACCTTTGAGTTTCCAAATAACACAATAGGTTCCGTTACTGGAAGACTAGGCGCTTTCAGCCAGTTTTTGCTAGAGTGTCAAATCCAAATATGGTTGTAGCCATATTAAATATCAATTTTAAACAACATATGTATGGTTCAGAAGGAAACATAAAAACTTCAATATAAATACAAGACATACACAAATGATAAAATCTCAAAATGGAATCAAATAGAGTACCAAAATATCAACAGAAAAATTTAATCATATCATAACACAAATATATATAGATGGAGGGGTTTTCCAAAAGCAAAAATACTTCAAAATAGATTCTACACTTGATGCGATGCAAAACTGTGTTAACTATCTTTGAACTCTTTTTTATTTTCTGATCTTAAAACCTTTAATATCCGAATTATGATTCCGGATAACAAGATCAAGTTAGTGGGAGTTAGTTGAATAAGCTCACTACAGATTGATAACAGAATTAGTATAAGTTTAGGCGTCAATCAGTGAAACAGTTTGAAATTTGCAAATTAGTCACTGTAACGCAATCTTTATATAGCCATTTTGATTACTATCTGTAACTCTAACATGTCATTTTTTACGGCAATATCTGAAAACACATTTTTTTCATCAGCAGCCACTAGTGGGCAAAAAGATTACCCCCTTGTAAGAGTTTTTACCATTTAAATTACCTCTCAATTATAGAAGAAAGTTTCATCATACACCAAGAACAAATTCAGGCCAAATATTACGAAATGAAAGCTGCCGTGATACGAATGAACAATAATAGACATTCGGTGGACAAAACGCCAATTAGGTATCCTCCAAGATTGATCAAGCCTTGTAGACTTTGATTATTCAGGAACGCTGACAGTGATTAAACATTGAAATTGTTGTTTAACCGTTCTCCGAACAGCAAACTCGTTTGTGTGCGTCATAACAGGCAGTGATTAGTAGTAGTTTATTCTTGAATCGTGTTATTTTTCTTTGTTCTATCAAAAGTTATAAAATATGAACATATCTATTTTTTTTCAATACCTACATCTGTCAAAATACTATGGAATGTTATCGGGTCAAATAAAAATTGATTATTTCTGGATTTGGAAAAGTAGTGTCATTCAATACGCATATGACAAATAAGATTGTTGGCTCTTTCAATAAATATTGAAAACGTGGCAAAAAAATATAAAAAACCTGTAATGAACAAGAATGAAATATTAGCTAAAAAGGCATATTATTCTGGCTAAATACAAGTGTACAGATTATAACAAAACAGTCGTTTTCCTATCAAGCGTATGTTCGGCTTTACACATCGTGTCATCTTGTATTCTTTCTTTCGTCTTTACACCACAACTAGCAAAGTGACATTTTCCTCTTGCAGGATATTCAAAAACGACTTGAGCACGGATATTTATACAAACGATTGTACACAAACGCTATCAAAGTATCAGTTTATCGAACCTCTTCCACTGCTTCTTCCATCTAACCTGAAAATAAAGTTCTAGCACGTGGGACTAATTGATCATTGTTTAAGTAAACCGTGAGCACTGATCAGCGAGGATCAAGACAAAATTTGAGTTCGTTTGGATTTTACGCAGCTTTATTCTCCCTGATTTCTTGTATTGTTTTTGCGTAAATAAAACTTCTTTTTTTGACGGCATCTGAACGAGTGACATTCTGATCTTATATAAGATGTGAGAATCATCTTCAACCCGGACGTTTTTATAAACTATTTGAAACAATCTATTAAACAGATGAGTCAATTAAATTTCAAGTACTCCAGTGAAGGTCAGTGACCAAAACAAGATCGATGACATGATCGATGTAATCCAGAGAACCAGTTTACTGATAATTTTATGGAAGGTCAAATCTAATTCGAAAATTTGCCGTTTCTTCCCGTGATTCCGATTTGCCTTTATTCAGTTGTTTTCTTCCTAGTCGCCGATATTTTTTATGTCCAGTTATCGTTTT